CTAATCTGTTGGGTCATATCTTTTACCTATTTATTGTTACTTTTTTCTATTAATTTATAAATTTTACATATTATGAATATCTTATTTGTTCCTTTAAAATTTATGACATCATTCAGAAGGCTTAAATTCTAAATACAGTCCAGTTTATCAATCTTTTTCATGAGTTTTGCTTTTCATACCTGTTGAGGAAATATGTTCCTATTCAGAGGTCATAAAAATATCTCATACTTAATTTTTTCTTCTAAAATTTTTAACGATGTGTTTTGACATTAAGTTTTCACTCATCTGATTATTTTTTTCTTAGTATGGTGTGTGATATGGATTGAAATTATTTTTCCGGGTAGACAGTGAATTTTCACCATATCATTTGCTGAATTAGTGTATCTTTCCTTCATGTTTGTTATTCATCTCTATTTTTACTACCTTCCCATTTGTGAAAGGGCCTGTTTTTGGATTCTCTACTTGCCCCAATCTGCTTATTTTCTGGTGAACACCACCTGATTTAATTACTACAGTTTTATAATAAATCTTGACTTCTGTAGGGCAAGTCCCCTATTCTTGTGCTTCTTTTATTTATAATTGATTTGGATATTTTTGGCTATTTAGGCCTCTAAGTGAATTTTAGAAATCATTTGTCTAATTCCACCAAAACAAATCTACTTGGAATTTTGATTAGAATTTCAGTGGCTCTCCAGATTAATTTAGGGGAGTATCTGAGTCTTCCCATCTATATGCAGTATATGTCTCCATTAAGTCTGGTATTCAGTTGTACCCATTAAACTATTTTATAATTTTCACTATATGGATCTTGTTCATCCTTTTTTTTTTAACAATGCTTTTTGTACATTTATTCTTTTTTTAATTGACATATAACCTTGTTATTAGTTTAAGGTGTACAGCATAATGATTTGATATATGTATATATTGCAAAAGGATTATCACAATAAGTTTAGTTAACATCCATCACCTCACGTAGTTACATCTTTTTTTCTTGTGGTGAGAATTTTTAAGGTTTTCTCTCTTAGCAACTTTCAAATATACAATACAGTATTGTTAACTATAATCACCATGCTGTACTTTACATCCCCAGAGCTTATTTATCTTATAATTGTAAGTTTGTACCTTCTGACCACTTTACTCATTTTGCTCAACCCCCCACCCCCTGCCTCTGGCAACCACCAAACTGTTCTCTGTATCTATGAGTTCGGTTTTTTTAGATTCTACATATAAGTGAGATTATACACTATTTGTCTTTCTCTGACTTATTTTGCTTACCATAATGCCCTCAAGGTCCATCCATGTTGTCATAAATGTCAGGATTTGCTTCTTTTTTTTATGGCTGAATGCTACTCCATTGTATATATATTTGATATTTTCTTTATCCACTCATCCAGTGATGGACACTTAGGTTGTTTCCATGTCTTGGCTACTGTAAATAATGCTGCAGTGAACATGGGGTGCAGATATCTCTGTGAGATACTGATTTCGTTTCCTGTAGATGTATACCCAGAAGTGGAATTGCTGGGTCATATAGTAGTTCTATTTTTAATTTTTTGAGGATCCTTCATATGTTTTCCGTTGTGGCTACACCAATTTATATTCCCACCAACAGTGCACAAGGGATCCTTTTTCTCCACATCCTTGCCAACACTTATTACTTTTTGTCCTTTTGATGATAGCCATTCTAACAAGTGTGAGATGATATCTCTTTGTGGTTTTGATTTGCATTTCCCTGATGATAAGTGATGTTGAGCACCTTTTCATGTACCTGTTGGCCACTGTATGTTTGTTAATCTTTTAATAGCTGTATTCCCAGATATCTTATAATTTTTGTTGCTATTGTGAATTGTTTCTTTTTTTAATGTTTTCTAATTGGTTATTGCTGGTGTATACAAATACTGTTTATTTTTATATATTGATCTTATATCTAAAAGCTCTTTTAGTCCTTCAAAAAATATTGTCTGTAGAATCTCATGATATTTTAGTAGAGACATTATATCAGCTGCAAATACAATAGCTTTCCAGTTATTTGCTTCCGTGCTGCATTGGTGAGGACATCTAGTACATTGTCAAATCATGGCAATATTATAACAATTCTTATCTTGTTGCTGTATAGCTGAAGACTTACATACGGCCTCTTCTGCATAGTCTCTAATCTTTCCTTCTGTAGTCCCTGTTAGACATACATTAAAATTTCTTATTCTGCCCTCTACATTGGTAATTACCATTCTGCTTTTCGGTATTTTGGTATTCCCTAAAACTGTGTTGTATTTAAGTACCAGAATAAGGGAATTGATGTTGGTGTAATACCTTTAGTAAAGACATAGATCAGTGGTTTCATTGATTCTTGGTTCTCTCTCCCAACCCACTTGCCCTTCCTTGCCTCCTCACTTTCCCAAACCTGGTACCTTCCCCTAAACCCTCTTCCTTCACCAGCAATAGGACCAGATTGGAGAGCTTTATCTTGGTTAACTCTTCAACTCATTGGCATCTTTAGACTATAACAGTTTTCCAATGGACATCTTTATCTTACCATCTATTTTTATCAAATTCAAAGATAATTGGAAAGCAGTGATACTAAGGAATGATTTAAATGTAGCCATTGGTTTTAAGGGAGCTGGGTGAAGGCTTGTCACTGCAATATCACACAAAATGAATGATTTAAATACAAGGAGAAGAATATATAATGGAGACAGCACCGTCCATATCTCACATCATCAGAATGTGAGTGACAGCAGCGGCGACAGGAAGAGTGCTGTGCTATGTAAAGACTCTTTCTCCTGGAAGCCAGGACATGACTGAGATTGTAGGTCACATTGTTTATGGCTCTCTTAGAATTGAACTTTTAATAGAGCAATAAGGTTTTGATTTTAGTAGGCATTTGCATTCCTTTACAAACATCTCAGCATACTTGAGGTCACTGAACTTAAAAAGCCAAACCGATAAATCAGTGCCACCTTAAGTAAGTGGTTCAGTATTCTTACTATTGATCATAATGACCAGTGAGAGGTTCTTTGGGGTAGTGGTTGAAGGTACAGACTCTGTGGCCAATCTGCCTGGATTTGAAGCCGCTTTCCACCTCTTACCAGCTTGTGACCTCAGGCACATTTTTAGACCTTTTTATACCTTTATTTTCTCATCTTCAAAATGGGGATAATAATAGTGCCCATTTCATAAAGCTCTTATGAGGATTAAAGTAGTTCATACATGTAATGCACAACAGAGCCTAGGCACACAGTAAGTGCTCTATATAACTGTTAACTATTTAAAAACTCATATATTCACAAGAATATTTACTGTCCTCTAAGGATCATGCAGTTTGATTGAGACAATATATATGCTTCCCTGGTTCTTTATTGTTGCACAAGAAGAGAGGTTCTCATTTAGAGAAGTGTTGCTCACAGCTGTAAGTCATGGAATGCCCTTTATTCCTTTAGAAGTATTCCTTCAGGATTAAGTATTAAGGAGTTAAAGACAAAAGTCTTACAATGTTTCTTTAAATATCTGTTTCAGCTGCATAAGATTAGCACATTTTTCTTGGCAAAGAACACCTTTTCCTTTTTTTGCTGGAGTATTTTTTCGTCAGCAGCCTTCCTTGTTTTTCTTCCCGAACGCTTCCTCTGGTTCTCTTTCTGTCATCTGCCCTCCTTCTATTCTCCATGCTTCAGCACTTCCCTCCCACCACTTCCCATCCTCTCACTTAAAAAAAACACAAACTTTGCTCATTGATTGTTTAGCATGTTTCCTTCCTATTTTGCATTCCCCTGGGCGTCTGGGACAATCAGAGTGGAAGTGCACGGGTAGCATGGGAAAGTCACTGTGTCACTAGATGGACAGCAGTTTTAAAATGTAGTCAGGATACACGACTGACTGGCTGACAGGGGATAACAGAAAGCAGTGCTGGCTCAGGTGCTCTGGGGCAGGCTGTGAGGCCATCTGCATCTAGTCTGTAGTCACTGCTCGGTTATTTTCAGAGGTTAGCTTAGGATTTGCCTTATATTGGGTAACTAGAGGAAGCTGTTGTGTGCTTTTGTAGTATGGGATTTTTAAATGTTATTTTGGGGAATCTGAGCCATTGGTGGTCCCCAGAAAGCCTGGAACCTCCAGTCTAGGCTCTATTCACAAATGTAGAACATGCTCAAAATCCTCATGAACTCTGTTATGTGGAGTTTATAATGAGAAGCGAAGTGGGTCAGTGTTAGAGGCACCATAAATCAGCGGTTCCTGAGAGCCATCTTGGTACCTTAATAGCCAGCATTTCAGTGTTTACCCATGCCAGGCATGTGCTGAACATGATATCCATGTTATCTCCTCCCACAACCCAATGGAGGCAGCTGTTTTTATTCCCATCATAGAGATGCAAACATCTGCGGGTCTTTTCAACCTTTTCCACTGTGACAGTGCCTTCCACCCACGCTATGTTACCCCACCGGGCAAGGACTAGCAGTGGAACTACTGTGGAGAAGCCAAAACGCAATTTGTTTACATTCTCCAGATAAAAGGAGGTTTTGGTTAACGGATGGAGAATGTAATTATAGCAATGTGACCTGAACTGATGATTTTATTTGTACCTGTTTAAAAAGTCCATGTCTTCTAAGCATCCAGGGCCTCATTAATGAGAGGAAGGGACAAGAAGACCTTTCATCCATATATCACACCCAAGAATTTATAGTGATTGTGCTTGTTGGTAAAACACGTGATTGTCGTCGTGTTATGGGTTAGCAGTGTTGTTTCAGGTGTTCAAAGTAGTAATTATGATTGGGGTGTGTATATAGGCCCTTCATCTGTTTCACATACAAATCTGTGTGATGAGCAGCTGCAAGATGAGAGGTCAGTTAAGTGGCATCCTACCCCAATCTGCAAAGCCAGGCTGCTTCCTCTTTCCTGGGACACTGACCATTCTTTGCATGGCTGCTAGAACAGATGAAACAAATCAAAACAGCTTTGAGGAGTCTAGTGCATCCCCCTGCCTAATTTAAACCCCAATCAAGTCTAATTATCAGAGCCATAATACTTGCTGGCAATAATTTGCTTTGGGTACCACTCAGAGCTATGTTGAAAATTTTCTTTTGCCTTCAGAAAATTGGTTTACCTTTAAATTTTTTCCCCCAGATTTCCCTGTGGAAAATTGGTTCTCTTAATTTAGGTATCTTGTAATTTTTCTCATTAAAAAATGTGTGGCATGTGATATTAGATTTTTTTCTAAATTGAAGTGACTTAAGTGGGTTGACATATGTGCTGCAGTATAATTGTGCTGTGTTTTTGGAGCCCAAGTCAGTAATTACATCCATAAACTTATTGTGTATGGTAAAATATGTTAACTGGTCTTTGACATAAAATTCATTAATTTGAATCAATATGTAATGTTCTGAAGTGCTCTAACAAAGGATCATTGACTGATGGGTATAATATAGTCTAAGACCCAAACATTTCTCTATGAATAGCAGTGAATATAAACATTTTCTAAATAGCCAGTCAATACGATTCCCAAAACACACATATTATGATGCCTACAAGAAATTTAAACTATGACATGAGCCCCAAAATTGAATTTACTTATTTTTAAAGCAGGGTATTCTGGATATTTTTGATCTTTACAATATTGCACTAACTTTCAAAGGAGTTTCAAACCTTCATATGGATCATACTAGTTACATATGTGGATGCTGAGGTCCGGGAAGGTTGGTGGCAGGAAGGAGACTGGCCCTCAGTGAGATCTGCTTTGCCCACTAACCCTCAGAGGGTGCCAGAGCTCCCTTCTCCATGGAATCGTAGCGGTTTCTGTGCAGACTGGCTTTTCTGCTTCCCTGATGTTGAATAACTGTAAAAGGCAAATTGAAGTGTACCAGTGTTGGGAAGTAAATTTGAATTCAAAGTAAGAATTTCATCAGGAATCCAATCCCAGGATTTTCTTTTGACTTGAGACTGCAGACCTACCAAAATTACATTAATGTGAAACCTTGACAAAAGAAAAATCCCCGTGATTAGATATGTGGTGCTTCACAGATAATATCTAGTTCACCTCTTCAGCATTTCTGGGAAGCGAGAGCCAGAGAAGAAAAGTAGTACTGTGTGGCTTCTCTGCTCAAATTGTTTGCCTCCCCTCCCACCAAACATAGGCATGTCCACAGTGCTTCAGTGCTAGTGAGTAGACCATATTTAATACAGCAAGGGCAGTTTTGAAGGTCGAACAACATAATCTGTTTAAGAAACTGGGCCTGACAGAGAAGAGAAAAGGGAAGCAGTCCCTGTGGTTGCTGCTGTTAACTTTTGCTCAGTGACCCTGTGGGTACCTTGTATCTTCTCTGTGACCTCCAAATCACTTTGCGCCTTTCCCCATATCTGTCTGTCTGTCTGTCTGTCTATCAAAGGCCTCCCTGCCCTCTGATGTCTGGCCTAGTGGGGGAGCAGGAGATTAGAAGGAAGGAGGAAGAACAGAGAATATGATAGAAATTATTGTTCTCTGGCTCCCTTCCTGTGGCATTAGCACTGGCTGGCTGAATGTTCTGCAAGTAAGGGTATCTGTCAGGTGACCCTCCATACCCAGCTCTCGGTTTCAGTTTCTGGAAGCAGCTCCCTCCCTTTGCCTCTTCTGGTCTAGGGGTGGTGAAGGAGCACTACTCCTTTTACTCCTTTGTAAGTAATTCCTGTATCAAATTCTTCTCAAACCACCTAGTCTGAGTGTGCCCTCTGTTTCCTGCAGGAACCCTGACTAAAACACTGGGTATGGATGAGCTGGTGTAATTATACATCATATACATAAATGTGCTTCATTTATTGGTTTGATAATTATTTGACCAATATCCACCAAGTGCCAGATAGAGAACAAATGAGACAAAGTTCCTGGCCTTGAGGAGCTTATAGAAAAAAAGATAAACACATACGTATACAATATATTGTCAGGTAGTAATAACTGTTATGAAGTAAAGGAGGACAAGGGGGAAGGTAGTGATGGGGGGTCCTCTTTTAGGGATGGATTAGATAGGGATGGTGGGGGTTATTGTTTGACTCATGGGAACCAAGATTAAGAACGAGACAGAAAGGGTGACTCCTAGGTCATTGGTCAGAGCAACTGGGTGAATGGTGGTACCCTTTCCTGGAGATGAGGAATACTGAAGACGGCAGATAAAGGGGGCAAAGGTCAAGAATTGGGTCATGGACATGTGAAATTTGCAATCCCTGTTTGACATCTCAGAGTAGGAAGTAGAAGTTGAGGGAGTACACAGGTGTTTTTATATAGTGTTTAATATATTTATCTTATGTGTATTAGAAGAAAAATGTAACTAGCCCAACAAAGCCATGATTTCAAGATGTTGTTACTTAGGCCATCATTAAAAATGGAAGTATTTAAGTTTTTAAAAAATGGAGTCATCTTTTTAAATAAAACAATTAAGAAAAAACTAGTATTCAGAGTAGATGTAATAGCACACATAGAACATGGATGTGGGGAAAAAATTCATAAGTAAATGACTGCGGTTTGGGGCACAACCTAAAGCATTTGTAAGGAATTACTATGTGATTCCTATCGTGTCACAGTTTAAGAACCATTCCCTTGCTATTTTTGTTTTTGTTTTGTTTTTTAATTGAGGTCATATTGGCTTATAACATTGTGTAAATTTCAGGTGTACATTGTTATATTTCAGTTTCTGTACAGACTGCGTTATGTTCACCACCAATAGTCTAGTTTTTATCTGTCACTGTACATATATGTGCCCCCTTGGTGTAGTTTTAACTGCAGGTCAAGTCATCGATTTAGTTGGTAGAGACCAGCATTGTTTAAAAAGTAACTAGACTAGATGAGAACACGGAGTGCATTGCTGGTGGTATTGGCAAGTATTGTTTCATGATGTGAAATACATGTCCTATTGAGCATCACAGTGAACAAAGTTAGAAGCCACCGTCTTAGGGTCTGCTCTCAGAATAGGGTATCCCTTCCCTACGCCATTTTGGTGACTCCTCTTAAGCCAAGCTGAAAAACCTGGATTTGAAAGTAGACAAGAACAAATGATGTACTTTCATCTTTATAAGGTTATTAATGATGGAGGTTTTCATAAATTATTCTGTGATTAGTTCCATGGGTTTTAGAAGCCTATGATGTCATCGTCGAAAATGTGCTCTAGCTTCTAAATGGCTCATTTCTTCCATGTTCATTTGGATTTCTGATCCCTATTTGGATATGCTCGGTAATTGTGAAATCTCCTCAGCTTGTGAATTCTTTCAGTCAATTTATTTTCATGGAATTTTTTGGCTTTGCCTGGTCTTAGATTGCTTTATTGACGTGCAGGAGCCCCTTTACTCGTGCTTGTTGGCAATAGCTTTGTTATATTTAAGTATAGTGTTTAGTAAGAGCTTCAATTAGGGCTGAAATATATTTATCACAGACAAAAGGGTGTCTCAGAGTTGGGTGAAAAAATTTATTCTTATCTGAGAATGCATGTGATTCTTTTCAGAATTAAAACTGTTTTGAATGGACTTTTAAGTAGTAGTCTAGGAGCCCTTGAAACAATGATGTGATTTTCTGGGCATTTTTTCTTATGTTAAAATCTCTAGGCTGGAAATGTCTAATGATAGATTTTTTTTAAAAAAATGGGATAATAAAAAATAATGCCCAAATTATGGATACATTTAGTTTTAAATTTTCCTTGTGGCTCTAATTTTGAGACAGAGTAACTTATACCTGCTTTAAAGAATTAGGCTTTTAAATAATCTGATGTCAGCCACTAAATTCATTGGGCACCCATTATTTCATGCCTGATATATGGTTTTTCACAGAGCATTCTTGTAAATATGTTTATGTGATGCAAATTAGGCTAAAGTACTACACTATCAGATCTGTAATGTTTAGGGAGCAATAATTTCTTTAAAAAGTATGATCTGCAATGTTAAGGGATATTTATAATTTCTAAAATGACTTACTTAACAGGAGAAGCCTTGATGAAAGCATTTAGCATGGAGATGAAATATGTCTGATTAAGTTTCCAGATTATGCACATGTCAACACTTCTTTTGTCATCTTTTAATGGTTTATTTACATAACTGAGGGCTGCTACTTTTATTAGTGGCGGTTATCACAGCAAAATGACTTTGGTTAAGTTGACCTAAGCAATATAATGTGCTTCTGTTGCCACAGAACCAATGGTGAAGAATCCAACCCTCCGCCTACAGTCGAGAGCCCCTCTTTACGTATGTAAATAAGCCATTCAGTTGAGAGGCCTGTGGGGCCTGCCCAGGTCCAATCTGTTATTTGGCTGATGTTGATGGCATTTGCCAGGAGGTAAATGGTACCAGGAGACTGATGTTTCTGTCTGGAATAACAGATACCAGAGTCTGAAGGCTGTCATTTAAGAGGAGAAATTGATTCTTGGGACTAAGAATTTGGGAAAAGAAAATGAAGCCACAAATTTTGTCTTTAATGTTGTCCTGAGTGATAGAATTTGATGCTTTTCTTGAACATGGAAAACTATATCTAAGAATTGTCTCACAGGGACATCGGTTTCCTGCAATACCATTTATGAGAGCCCTGTTCGCATTTTTAAAAATGTAAAGTATTTCATAATTGAACGGATAGAGCTGACTGTGCTCAAAGATGAATGTTTGTACCTTCCCAGGATGTGTCGGGGAATCTGGCCTGTAACAAGACTGGAGAAAGAGAAAGAGAGAGCTTTTAACGTACGGTCTCCCAAAGTGAAGAAGCGGGCATGTCCGGCTTCTAATGAATTAAATTCTTCTCAAAGGTTCCTATCTAGGACCTAGCTGTGCACACCTTTCCGCAAAGTCTCAGTATCATCAGACTAACTCTAGAATACATGAGCAACTAACTACCACCAATTTTTTTTTCAACAATAGGATACAATGTGACTATTATATTGAAAATTAAGATTAATTTAAGATAGGAGTCATATGGAGAAAAACTTACTGTGAGCTGTTCACAATTTCTTTATTTTCACTCCATATACAATGCATTAAAATGACATTAATCTTCCAGGCTGTTCTTTAGTTTCTGTTAAGATGTA